CCCCCCCCGAGCTTGTCTTCACCTGAGTCCCCGGCGGCACACTTGCCTTCCGAACTCAGCCAAAAATTAAGTTATCCTCTTCTTCCGGCTCCTTTCCTTACACCTGACACCTCATTCTGCTCTCTAGTCCGTGTCCATCAACCACTGTAAGGTAGGGCCGGGGAATCATCCAAGGCTGCTTCTCTTCTCTTCATCTGAGTCCCCATCTTCCTGCTGCGGTGCATCTCTTGATCGTTTTTGCGACAGGGTCTAGGGTACATAGCAACGTAGCCAACTTTGTCTTCTCAAATATCGGCCCACTGTAAACATTGCTGTCGAAACGAGATTCGATCTGCAACGACGGTCTGTACCACACTTTAGGAGGGGGAAACACAAGGAAACCGAGGGCACGCTAGAGAAAAGAGCAAACCACGTGACATTGTCCGCACCAGCCAAGACGGGACGCCAACAAAAAAACTCTCAAAAACTACCCTTCGTATTCTTAGATTTTTCGTGACAAGACTCCTCTGCGACTAGACCCGATTTCCACTTGAAAAGTGACTCTCGCTCGCTCCGTATATCACCTGACCCCGGCAGTGGCCTGAAACCGGTGGCGGCGGTGGCACAAAAAACAAACAAACTTGCGGCATTCACGCAAGCGTACACTACAACACTCCAACCGCATGACAACCACACACGAAGGGCAAAACCCGGCGTGGTTACAAAACAAAGCTCAAAATCTTGGATGTGCTTGGCTTCCATTCGTTCTTTTCTATCCTGTAAGTTGTTGTTCTCAAGTAGGATGTGTTCACGCGTAGCGCCGGCTGCGGCGGTCTGGCCATGCGTTAACCTTGGCGTCTTCCAATGCCTCCGCGACGGTGGGCAGGGCGTAGTCGGCCGTGGGGCTGTCGAGGATGTCCGATGGGATGTTCATTTCGGGGGGGTTCATCTTAAACTGCGCGGCGACAAAATCGCGCGCGGGCGGGGGCGGGGAACGTGACACACGAGCAAAGCAAAAGGTTGGTTGACTTAAGTTTGGGGGAACAGGTGACACACGGCCACACAAAGGCTAACAACTTGGTTTGGTACCGTACGATAAAACCACGCGGGGGGGGAACGACACAAGAGAACACACACGGTTGGAACGAGGAGGGGGGTTAAGACATTGCTGTATAGGGTACACGGTTTCCTCGTTCTTATCTCTGTCGGGGCGTCATGCGAGGAGGCGTTCCGTGTCCGAAGCATACAACGTCCCATTCTCAGCCGACTACTTTGTTGTAGGGGCGGTGCATTGTCCAGCATGAACAAACTATACACAAAGCTCGGCTACGATTGGGTGTGTTTCGTTTTGGATATTTCGAAGTGATTTTCAGTCTTGGGGGACGCAACAAAATACCACAAAAACTTACGAAAGCCTTGATGGCGAAGGAAGTCGCCGTGGTGGACAGGTTGTTGGCCAGCCAGTAAATGCCGAGCGCCGAGGGCACGTTGAGGGAGAACCAGCCTATCAATACCGGTAGGTACGTGATCACGGTCTGCTCTCAAACGAGAAAAAGGGGGAACGCAAATGGCCGGGGTGAGTGCAACGACGAAGTGGCCCAAGGCAGACAGGCATGTCTTGTAAGGAAGATGGGCGGCGTCATGGGGAATGGGTCGGTGAGACGTATTCCGAGAATATTCCCGAAAATTAGGCTCAAAATTCACTGCCGCCAACGCCTGCCCGACAAATTCCATCTCCATTTCTGAACAAAACAAATGGCTACACGACGCTGAGCCTCAAAGCGATGGAAACGACATTCCTTGACAAGACATGATCTCATCGGGAAGAGCTCTGTCGAGCTATCCCTCGACAACGAGAGGATTCATAGGCGTGCCGCGGCGAGGTGACTCGGGTCACGACGACCCATGCTCCGTCCGCACTTGAGCGAGGAGCCCGCGGCATCATCGGGACCCCAGTGTCTCCGATCCCCCCCCCTCCACACCTAAAAGGAACGTCTACCGCAGTAATTTACACTCAAGCAAGCTCTCCAGTCATGGCTACATTCATACCTTGAGCGACGAGCCCGTGGCATCATCGGGGCCGTCGTCCGGCGGAGTGAGCAGCGTCATGGAAAGCTTCTGGGACAAAACGAGGATGGCAGGGATGCTCATGTAGCAAAGGGTGTCGTGCCACCCTAGGATAGGGTGACCGTCCACGAAGGTCGTGAGCCAACCGATACCGCGTCCATTCTCGAACGTGGGGCCCTGAAATCGGATTGTTCAGGGGGGGGGGGGGGGGGGGG